ATAATAATAATAATAATAATAATAATAATAATAATAATAATAATAATAATAAATATGTATTATTATTAATAATATTATTAATTCAGTCACTCGAAAATTCTGAAATGAAGAAAAAGGCTTTGTACATTTTCTATCCTTTATGAAATATTTAATTTTGATCTGGTTATTTTTTCTTTCTATTGAGCTTTTTGTTCAAAATTCCTCAACTGAATTAGTCACCAAAAAGTTAACTGAATCAAATGAGTCACCATCTATACTCACAGAATCTCCCATTTCGTCATGTGGTTCTAATCACATAAACCTAAACTACTCCATATATTTCAATTATTAAATAAAACAATAAAACAAAACTACCGCATTGTACACCGTGATATACTGTTATTGTTCGAACGACACTTCACTTATAACCTATATACGAACACGCTATTCAAGCGGTTTACGATGTGACCAAATTACCCTGTTTGATCTTTCCACAACGCAATACGACTAGGGGATTCACACATTCGCCGCGATGCCAACCTACAAAAGCTTAAAATCAACATTTTCTAAATGATTGGGTTGTATTACAGTTATCACAAAGTTAAATAGTGTGGGAGAAAAAAATGAACATTCTCAATTTTGTACTTAATGACTTAGGGACTGAGAAATTAAATGAATGTTTTACTAGCGCTGTTTGAAGTTGCTCTATGTCCTCTAGAGGATATTCCCGGACGTTCCACGCAAACAGGTGGTGAAGTGTGCGCCTGCCGACGAGAGTTTCAATTACTTACACGGTAGTAAGGTCGATCTAACTTCTGCGCGCAACTCCGCGTCTCCCTACTCAATGCGCATGCGCATTCACTTCCCCGCGTCCCGTCCCTGGTCACGCATCTCACTCATGACGAGATAGAATACGCGGCACTTAATCACCTTTTCCACTATTTTTCCCTTCATCTCTTTATGTTGTCCGTATTTGGTTATTTTTTCCAGGACGTCTTGGCGTTTTCGAATGTGAATGGGAATTGAAATGAATTTGCGGGGGGGGGGAGCGTCTGCCCCGTGCTTAATCCGGGCATTTGTGGTCTCAGTGATTGAAGCGATCTCATCGCCTTGGCCTCCCCACGACGCCAGCCGCTTCAAGTGACTCATGGGCCTTGTTGATAATTTCTTGGGCTTGTTTGATCTGGTCGAAGCCTTCCAGTGCTTTCCCGCCTTTCCTGTCGCTTCGTGCCTTCGCAGTTCACCGAAAGCGTTTTAAACAGGCGTTTATTAGTGTTTTTTTTTTAATTTTCGAGCACCATAACTTTTTAGTTTTCTATTTTAAAATATTATGCCTTACAAAAAGTACTCAAAAACCTGAATGACGACTCACGAATCACTTTTCCATCCCTTTCGGTTGCGGACCGAGTGGCGGAACGTCAGGGTAGGCAGAGTAAGCTGAGCTATCCCAAAGAATTTTGAAGGCGTGACATATCTCACTAAAAAAATGTACATTTATAATGTCGCTTTTTAGCCAATTATTACCGTACATACACGCGCCAAGTTATTTTTTCTGTTATGAGTATTCCATTCGATGTGTCTTTTCGCCACCCGGTGAGGCGGGCGAAGTCTGGGCGAGTCTGAGTCATGCCCGCCGGAAATGCCACCCGAGACTGCGGCCCACGAAAATCTCTTGCTTTCAACACCTCGCTCCAGAAAGACGCGACTCGTTACTCGTAACCATTGCTGCGATCAGTTACATTGATAAAAATTTTCTTTTTTAGCTGAGCTATCTTTGGGGGTCTGAATTCCCAGGTATTAGCAATCGAATCGTGCTACCGGATTTTGTTGCCCTTCGCCGAACCCATCACGAGCCTCCTCGTGCCAATCGGTCACGTCTAACCTTATCTCTGGACGCAGAGCTTGGTGGCAGGTGGTATCGCGTGTCAAATTCATGCACATTTGTTGTTCATAGTGGCGTAATTTCCTATTAGGCTGCAAGGTGAGCCTACCCAAATATTTTATAAAAAGCAAAAACTGCCTTTAATTTTTTAAAGATCATCACTTTATAACGTATTTATTGATAGTTTTCGAATCAACCATCACATGATTCGTTTGGCTTTGTAGGTTTGGCATCTTGTACTTCCCGCTCAATTGCGAACTTACACGAAAGAGAACGAACGTTTGCCCGGGAGTGATTACGGGCTGATTGTAGCCCCGAAGGCTAGTGAAGTGACCCTTCGGCATTCCTCCAGATCAGTTGAGGCCCGTGGCGGGCTTCCTCCGCCAAGACACACACATACACACACCACAAGCGTTGAAAGCGGTGTCAGGACAGTGGGCCGTTTGGGGTAAGATTTATTACAATCGATACTGTTCATACGCAATTCGTTCAATTCACACTTTTGTCATCTTTGAATGTCTTGTAAATGGGATGGAAAATTGAGTATTTTACTTATAAACCAAAACAATTACTCTATTATTAATAATAACAACATTTACAATGCCTTATCGACTCCTGTGAGTGACAGGCACAAAAGAGCTAAATAAATCAATTAGTAATTATAATATACCTGTTGCTCGCCCATTTGGTTCTATCATTTTTTAATTGTTTTTGCGAAATTCTGACTACACAGAGGAGTTGTTACAGTAAGTAATTTACCACATACAGATTATAATTCACTACGTTTAGGGACGATCCACAGTATGTCAGAAAAACAATCCCTTAAACCTGGCCTACACAATGCCTGCTCCCGGCGCGTAGATGGAATGACGAGGCGTCTAATGCTGTGAAATCATTTTCCCATTTTTTTTAAATGGAGGAAGCCCCTTATTTTAAGCTACAAGAACCATAATTTACTGTTTGCTTTCTTCTGTACACTGCTGCGTATCCAACTTTCTATCCACCACTGTATGTAATTTTTTTAGTTGATGCTCATTGTGACAAGCAGGAGCAATTTTTAAATTATTATTTAATTCTAACTAATAAGAATTTACAATTTAATAATTTTTTGTTCACCCGGAATGTACTAATCTCCAAATGAAGAAAATTATGAGAGCAATCTCTCACATTAAGATTGACATAAAAATGGTATATAGGCAATTACAAGAAGTCTAGCAAGATGATGTCTAACAGCATCTATATTAGTGACCATTTTCTATCATGAATCTGAAGATATCAGTGATCAAACTTCTCTGATGATATATTTCGGCCAATCATAAGATCTTGTTAAATATAATGTAAAGGGCTTAATATTTTCATATCTTGTTCTAAATGATGAATAAGTCGTGTTCGTTGATTGAATATTACAAATATATAATGAACTCTTGTCAGAAATTAAAGCAGAAAATAATGAGTATTTTTAAAGATTAATATTTTAGCTTTGAAAGAAGTCTTATTTAATTAAACATAGGTAACGAAAAAAAATAGTTTCTTGCTCTTATCACCAAACAATAACAATTCAGTATCATAATTTTGTGTTTAGTGATATTACAAATAGAGGGTTTTTTTTTAATTTTATTGATTGCATCGTAGCAAAGCGAATTACGTAATCAGCCCTAATAGCAATTATAATGTTTGGTGCCCAAATCAAATATGTATAATTCGTTGTAGTTTCATATTTCACATTTTCATATATCGACAACAAACATTTCCAATATAATACAAAAGGAAATGTTACTTGAACTGTACGTGACTCTCTCGTGAATTGCTTTCAATTTACGCACTAAGGTTCGCATTGGGCATTCTAATTGGTGTTCGCCACTCCTAGAATTTGCCTCATCCCCACCCTTCAAATTTCTCCGCAATTGGACGCGAGTAACTCGCGCGTTGCTGTCGATTCGAGAGTCTCGAGGTCAGACGAAGTGCAAAATGCTGTGCGGCATGCTTTAAGCCAAACTGTCGACGCTCGCGGAATGGAATCGCTGGGAATCGCTGAGCTCAGGAATCTGCCTTCGGAACGGCGCTACCTGGCGCTGCCTGGCGCAGCGCACTCTTAAATGACACGGCGGACGTCTTACTTGGCGCTTCCAAAATTGGAAGAACATTGGCGTGGAATAGAAAGGGAATCTCTTTCGAGTATTCATTGCACAACTATTATTTCACCCATTTCTACTTATTTGTAATTATTTCGTAGTAATTCAAACATTTAAGTTGTGTTTAATATTTTATCTTCAAATGTTTACATGATTATTAGAGACAGAATAACTGACAATGGAAAAGAATATATTGAAGAGTAGACTCTCAGTCCGCTTCTCAGAGCAGAAAATGAAGTAAAGCACCTTGACTAAAAATTTACATTATATATAAGATCAAATTTTGTAAAGCTATTGCCTATGACAATTCAGAAATTACACTTTTGGCCTCCGAAGACACACTACGCCGTGCTTTCACATACAATGGAAAAAAAAACTTTCTGGCGGCCCTGCAAGAGTTAATCCGCCCTACTAGTGACAATTTTTTACATTCTTCATTTCAAAAGTTCATAATCAAGCGGCAGTCCTATGCCATTGCTGCACCCCATGTTTCAGCTTCCACAGTTTCCTCTTTCCTGGGCTCCTCAATTCAGGTCCCTCTCCATCATTGCTTTTTCAATTCCCTGAATCAAATTGCCCATGGTCTTCCCCTCTTTCTCTGTGTATTTGGCTAGTGTTCTTTCCTCTCCCATTCTACTGATATGGCGAGACTCTGGCCATCAAAAATTTAGTCAGAAAATGTAATAGTATCTACAAATGATAATGTAGATAGTGGCAACAAACATCATTTAAAAACAACTTATAAGGAAATACTAAGTGAACAGTTTGCCCTCAAAACAGGGGGGGGAGGAAGTGTCTTGTCTTGATTGTTTTCTCTAATTTCTTTATTGGTGATATTTTCAAGTCTGAATACTCTAGAATCTCTTCTAAAAAGTTATCGTGTAGAAAAATGGAACAGTAGTAAAGTTACTGCCACATTTTTTTTTTAATTCGAGTTTAATCGTTTGAGTTTTTAGGTGTATCAAGCCATAATTTTTTTTCTTCTTCTTCTTCTTTTTTTTCCCCAGGGTGTTTTTGCAACAACTCTAAGCAATGAATATTATCTGGCTGCAGAGCATTTTTCTCTCTCCAGAGAAGAACTTTGGAAGCTCAGCTTTGAAAGTGTGGAATATACATTTGCTTCAGAGGAAGAGAAGCAACAAATTCGAAATACATTTCTTGAATGGAAGAAAGCAAACCTGGCTCAATTTGAACTCCATTAAATATTTTATTTTGGAAAAGGTTGCGAGAGAAATGAACATATAGCATTAAGTTCAAAATTACCACAATTAATTGATTCTTGTTAATTGGATAATTTGATAAATCTGTATTTTTTTAATTTTTATTTTCACTCAACAATAAAAATCAGAATATTCATAAACTTTCTCAAAATATAAACATTTTGCTAAATACAAGAATCTTTTCCACTTGAATATGTGTAAAATTGGTGCTCATAAACAGAAGTGAGTTGTACTGTTCTTAAATATTAAACCATTTTAATTTTTCAAGTATTTTTGTGTACACTTACCTACTTCAAATTTTCACAAGTCCTTCTACTTAGACTTTCATATCAGTTACCATAATCAACTTATGAGGAAAGAACTTCCTGTTTGAGAATTTTCATAAACAATATACAAAGCATATCTCTAGCCCTTTTAAACAACTTACTGCAGAAAAATAAAACTAATGATATATTCGAATATAAGAATATAGAAGATTGAAGGAAGGTAAATTTCAATTTTACTTAATTGGTGTCTACCACAAACCACTTATAATTTCCAAGATGTTGCTGATTTGACAGATCATCTCAACTGTTAACAGGAGTACATTACCCAATCGAACTTGGAAATTCATGTTAAAATTGTAAGTTGGACACTTGAAATTAGGAAATGAAAAACCTTCCTTCAGAATTATTTCCTTTTTATTTTTTTCTTCCTTTGTTCATAAAATAAAAGAAGACAGCAGCAAAGAAAACAGGATTAAACTGAAAATTTGGTATTTGATTTTCCTCTTCAAATGCCTATTTTCAATATGATTATTAACTATTAATAAATAAACTCTGTTTAAAATATAACATAAATACCTCGATGCAATGTATCACACAATTACTCAGCAAATGTGATACAGATAGGGAGTACAAAATTTTAGTGTGTTGGCACGTGATGGATGAATGCCTACAAAAATATTGCATAGGTTAGGGGCTTTACACATTTAATGCATTACCTGTCTTAGAAGGTAACAATTTCCAAAGGATTTTTTTTATTTTGATGTGTATCATGATAAGAGGCAGAAGTCTGTTGGATTTTTCTTTCTTATATATGTACGTATATATGGAGTAATATACTCAGTATAGAGAAAGTATTGTACAGCTGTGGCAAAAAAGCTGCAATTTTTCGACAAGAACACAATTTGTGAGGTCCTGATACAGGAAAAGTGGATATATCCTGTTCCAACACATAGTAAATTACTTCTCTTAACACTTTACATAGTCTCATTTCACGAATTGTAGGCCTTTGATACTAAAAATGTATTGTTTTTTTCAAAATATCTGTCTGTCATCTGAGAAAAGCACTAGCGCCTAGACAACAACACATAGGATATTTTCCAAACTGAATACTCCCTGGTTGATCTGTCCTCACTCAAAGCTCTACAATTTTGAAAAACATTCAATAATTTTTTGGGATACTTTACATGAAGCCCCTGAGAGGTTTTTAAAACTTTCCAAGAAATTACTCCAAATTTCAAGCAATTTTCGGGTTTAACTCTGAATTTTCAAAATTTGGAAAAGTTCAAAATTTTTTCAGTGTGTTCCCACAACTAGAATTTGAAAATAGAGTTTTCTCCTTGAAATGAAACTTGTTCTCCTGAATTAGTTCTTTCATTACGGTCATGTGCATTGTTTTGAAAATTGTAGTTTTTGCGCAATAGCATGAAACATGTGCAATATTAAAAAATCACAAAAACAACAATTTCTCAAAAACAGCTCCAAATCTTTTCTTTGAACTTTTGGTAGGGATAGTGCTAAATGTAAAGATAATATAAGATAAATGTAATAATAAGACATCATGAACACCAATTTGCTCAATAGTTTTGTATTTCTGAAAATCACAAAAATGATATTTTCTTCACTTGTCTCTCATATCGTTAATATTTACATAACCGATGATTTGTATACATTATTGCATTTAAGAGTACACGAGCTTCAAACGATTTTCAAAAGCGCCATTATTTCAAAAATGTCTCCAAATTTTTTCTTCAAACTTTTTGTATGCATGGTGCAAATGCACCATATAAGATGCACAGGCGGAATTATCTTTTCAAGGACCCTGGAGACAAGATCATCACACTCCAAAAAATTGTTTTATTTCAAGGTTTTATTATAACAGAAAGAAAAAGTGTTTCATAATAAGGTGTTTTTCTTACAACAGTAAAAATCATCTAAATGTCTTCAAATAACACATATCTACAAAGATGGTTTGTTGATTTGAGATATTGTTGTTTTAAACTTTGACCTGACGAGCTTTACATTCAGCAAACGTTTTAACAATTTCTTCCTATTTATTTCTTAAATTATGGGTCGTGTGTTCAACTGACAGAATACGTAAATCACTTAATCATTCTTGACCCATTAAATTCCTTCAATAATTGTTTGTGATTTTTAATTTAGAAATTGATTGTTCGGCAATAGAAACTGTTACTGGGAAACTGAAAAATACGATTATGACTGTACATAAATCGGGGAGAAACGTCATTAATTTAAAATGTTATATTACAATATAATTCCCTAATTTTTATAATGAATTCAGTTTAACAATTTTATTGAGCAAAGAACTTTACAAAGATAATAATTGCACTGATAACCGATGTGAAATATCTTTAGGCTATTTTTCAACCAATTGATTTGCCTCCATTATTACTTCATCTGATTATTTCATCAATTCTCACGCTTGTATTACTTTGAACGTACATGCTACATTATTCAAACTAATCAGTTCTGAAATTGATTCAATATTATGTCTAAACAACCATAAAACACATTAACGTGAAAACAACTTTTGGCATTCACGAGTCTTTCACCTTGGCATAGTTCACCAAAATGACTTTTGGTTTTCCTTACTCCTTTGTTTGAAAATATAGGTCTTACATTCCAAGTTTTAACTAGACTCAAAGATTCATTTTTAGCACCATTGAAATTAGGATTAAATCTTGATCATTCTTGAGCATTCTCTAATAAATGCTTAGTTTCATACAATTTTAGAATTTTGTAATAGCTTTGAAAATACATTGGTGGAAATTAGAATTTGTGAATGCATGATAACTTGAAATACAAATTTCACTGTTTCCATACCCTTCCTTACATGAATTGCTTTGTCACTTTCAGATTAAGCAAGTCAACATTATCAAAAGAGCTTTCAAAATGTTTCAATAGTTAAATCTTATTGCTAATAAAAAATTCTTTTTGTTTGGCCACCTGGTAGGACAAAGTCACTTCAAATTTAAATCTGTCTCGTTACTATTATGCGAAGATATCGTGATGGATAATAAAGACCAACGGTTTACACTGCTGACAAAAAAACTGATATACATTCCAGCAAATTATACAATTTTGAAACCTCTATTAAGCCCTTGCAAAATTTTCGTTTAAGATCAGATATAAATTGTGAGAAGAGCAGTAAATTCTTCGATCGGATTTATCCAAAATTCTTTGTTGCACTCCAGAATAGGGACCACTCATAACTGCTGCTCCATCGTATCCCTGGGCTTGGCATTTTGCTATGTCAATTCCTACCGAAACAAAATATTGGTACATAATAAATATATTCAAATTGACATATTGATCTTTTACTTTTACATGCAATTTATAAATACAGTAGAAGCTCATTAATTCAAACCCCACAAATCAGAAATTTTGGATAATCAGCACACAATTCGAAGAGGAGGAAAAATTAACAAAATAAATAAAATGCTTATTTATATTCTACAGAAAGGATTTTATAATCTGTAGAACTGAACAACTAATTATTAAAACACACGTTGTAGAAATAAAACATTTATTGCACAGGTAACTTCAGTGTGTATCACATGCTTATTTTGCAGTAATTTTAACTTGTAGGAACATGCAAATTGGTAATCATCTTTCGCAGTAAGGAACTGATTCTGCTTGATGATGCGATGGAATGATGTGATGTGATCGCTATGCTATGTTGCAGTTTTTTTATATCACACGTTTCGTTGCATTGTCTGGTAATCCTAAAGGTGTATTTGTATGTGTACAGTACTTTTTTTTAATATCCAAACATTTCTGATTTCGAACAGGTCACACCCCCAATTAGTTCAGATTACCAGGGTTCTTCTGTATTATTTTCAATTGTTATTTTTTTATATTAAATTAATATTAACACATTCATCTCTTAATGATGCTACTAATAATCATTTGAACATATTTTATTATATCCCTCTTGTTCAACTGTCTGTATGATCCCTTGGTCCATAAAACATTGTAAAAGCCTCCAATACAGAGGCACCATTCACAATAATGTTCTATTATTTTACGTATTCATTGTTTGCAATTTTTTATTTACCTTTTAATATAAATAAAATATTAAGAAAATAATTACGGAAAAATAGTAAAAGTGGAACAACACTTTTTCTCTTTTTTTTCTTTCTTTTGTTTCATATCAATCAACTATAAATTGAAATATATTAAATAAAAAGCATGAATCTAAGAAAATTTTTAGATTATGTGTGTGGCCCTTTAGATACAGAGACCCTGGCACATTGCACCTGTAGTTTCACCACCGATTAGATAACATAAAAGCCATTTTGCTGTATTATTTGTTTTTTTCTAAAATTACACAAATAGATTTTAATTATCTCTCACTCAATTAATATGCATATTTTCAGCAATTTGTATACATTATTGCATTTATGAGAGGAAGAGTTTCAAATAACGTCCATTTAAGTTTCTCAAAGACTCAAAAGTTTTCTGTGCAAAGGATCTTCAAATTACACATTTACTGTAACGCTTCAATGACATTTTCTTAAAAACGGCTCCAAATTTTGCAACGAAAATTTCTATTTAGGAGGAGGATTTTACTCTTCTATAATATTAGAATTATAGAAATTCATATTTCAATTGTACCATTAGGAAATCGAAAAATTGAGAAATTTCTAAAAAAATGGACACCAATGGATGGTATATGGCAGAAGGGATGGGGTAAGACCGAAAAGCTACTCAGACCAAAGAAATTAGAAAACTACTAGAATGAGAATGTCTGTCCTATTCTATAGCACCACTAGTATCTTCCTGCATCAGGATGCAATGTAAAATGACAGAACAGAGACATCAAGTGCTACTTATATTGTGGAATGATACATTTGAGTTTCTGAGATAACTACAAATTATTCTCATACATGCAATATCTTCAGTGTGTATAATTACACCTTCAAGTGTAATTGTGAATCAAATGCAATAACAATAAAAAATAACCAGAGGTGAAGAAAGAAGATTGCATATACTGGAAATTGAAGGATTTTGTAAATGAATTCTTTATGAATGCAGATTTTAAAAAGCTGCAGGTATTTTGTGCATTCAGAGTAATGAAAAATGTGTTAAGAACCAGAGTATACCAACTTCACTACAAATAGAAAAAAAGAGGCCAGGTATACACTTCCCATATCCTCACAACCTCTATTAAGCAGCAATCTGTATGAATGTCCAATTTTCTCGAGAATCAACCGCTTAAGACACTTCTTAAATGAAATTGTAATATTGAGCTTCGTTAGGTATTGGGTTTTCAAAATAATACTGAAAGTTAGAACATTAGCCATGTATTCAAATAATACATTTATATATATTTACACATAAATTTTCTGACAATACACAGTAAAATCACAGTTAAGGAACAAAGTAAATTCAATTCTTGCATTCAGTAAATGCAAATAAGGCTAAGCAATTGCATTTTAGTCCACTGCAAGAAGATAATATATATAGTTTGATAAACATAGTTTGATAACATCACAACATAGCAGATCACATTCATAGTATCTTCAAAACTTGGAACTTATTGTGTTCTGTAATCTTAATTTTATAACTGTAAATAGCACAAAACATTGTGACATGAAGACAGGAATGGCAAACTAATTGATCCACTACCCCAAACACAAAGTATTAACGATTGCAATTCCATCAAGTGTTTACACCCCCATTGGACTTAGTCCAAAATAGGACAGCATTTTTAACATTCTTGCCCCCAGCCAGGTTGTAATGGCACAATTCATTATCTGCCTTTTTAAATGAAAACTGGATTAGCTTCTTCCTCTAACTGTACATGATTAATTCGAACACCACATTCAGCAAATATCATAATTTTATTCAACTTGAGTGCACCCACAAATAGAATACAAAAGTGTAAAATTTACACAAATAAAATAAGAAAGTATTACATGTTGTTCTATAGATTAGCCATTAGCAATAGAAGGACTGGTCACTCTCTGATCTACTGAACTTAGAATAACCATCATGTGGTGTAAAAAACAAGAGAATATGAAAGATGATAATGAACTAGCAGCATTAACCATTAGAGAAACAAATTAGTGTGCCTCTTCACTGGCTGCAGAAGGCACTAGGCCACTTTTCACAAAAAAGGCAAACTATATCTAGTGCTATTATAAAAAAATTCACCTGTCCTTTCCACATCTAGTACTCATCATGTATTTCTTCAGAAGGGCTTCGTACAACAAGCAAAAAGCACTGTTGCTCAGTGCTGAGGCTGGGGTTGGGCAGCAGCACTTGTGCTACTAACAGAGACTGATACCACAGCAGCTGGTTGGGGGGTAGTGGTTGTAGTTAAAGATGTGTGAGGTGCATGGAAGAAACACAACATGAAGCCAGCAGCAAGTAGAAGGTGCAGGCCAAGTACAGCTGCCAACACAGGCAGGCGGTGAGTCTTCTGAACCGCAGGCCAAGCAGTCATAAGCAGCACAGAACCAGACAATGCTGCTCCCACACCCAGAATCAACCACTGCAACCAGTCCACCTGTCAACAAATGAATTTTTATGAGCACGTCTGCCTCTAACATAGAAAAATGAAAGAGAGATCAATTGCAATCAGATTAACAATAAATAATTTTGAGTAATGCAATGTAACATTTATTTTAATAAACCTCAGTATCTGGAGCAGGGAAAAATAACAATTCAACTTCTTTGACTGAATATTAGTTATTTGGAAAATACAATAAAATTCTTTAAAAATCATCACAAAATAAGTTGAAATAAGTGGTTTTCTGTCACGTTTACTGTACTAGATTAAGATATCTTGTTTACTCTTGAAATAAAAATTGACAATTCAGGCAACATCCCAAGTATAATTGTTCAACTCAATCTAAACTGCAAAGCTTCACCAATAAATAATTTCCTATACATTTAAACATGCATATTTTCCATGACCTTTATCAAGCATAAAAAATAATTTTTAACAGAATCAAATTCAATAGGCCTCTTAAAAACTCCTGACCAAACAAAGTAACTATTATATACTAGAATTCTTTCACTTTCATTTATTGTGTCAGCAAACAACAATATGAACAAACCAGACTGATTAAATAATTTACACATATTTTATACAGAGTACAAGTCATATTCAAGAATTATTCAAAATATGCTTACGAGAACAAGTCATTCACGAATTCTGTAGATTTTAGACATTTAGGATATTCCTCTCTTCTGATTCACAAAAAATTACATTTTGTATTATTAACAAGTACAGAAGGTCAGTATACTGAATTATGAATTATAAAAAATGTGAAAAATCTTACTTCAGCATTTAAAATCAAATACTGTAGAAAAAAAGGCAAAAATTTTATTAAACCCCTTATCAATATTTTGTGGGCGTGTGTGTTTGTAGATTAATGATTAGATACAAGTACAGCATTCCCTTCACTTAAAACTGTTACTTAGAATGACGATAAAACATTATACCCAGATTCTCGCCATCCACAAGACTAATTTTGATAAAACACATTTAATGAGATTGAAACTAATAAATTACTTAAATTATTCATATTCAGTTAATTAAAAGATTTGAAATTTAGGAAATAAATTTCGAACAGTTTCAAAATCACTTTTGCTTATTGATGTTTAATGTTTTGAGCGCTCTCAGTATTACAAATTAAAGTTAATCGCAACAAAAAACTGATGTCAATAATTGTTCTGGCAACTGTACTTGCATGGCAAGTTCTATAAATTAGTGATCTGACGATTGCCAACTCACCTCAATCAACCATAGTATTGACACTGGAATGTAAATGGATAGAGAGTACCCATAAACACACATCATCTCCAGAAAACCCAGACGAGCCTCTTGACCCCCACACCACCGTAAATATGCCCAAAGAACCATTGGTGTAATCCATGCATAACTGTAGACAGCAGATGCAGCATAAGTGACAACACGGAAGTTATATTTCCAATGGAAATCTTTGCCAGCTGTTTGCAAGTAGTTGGCTAAATTACCGCTGATGGCAATTGCAAATATTAATGTGGTACATATCCAGAAGGGGCCGTAGAGGTCGGGTTTTGGCCTGATGTGATGTTGCAAATAACTATGACCAGGTCTTGGTATCATGGACCATAGAATGCGATCCACTACTGTTTGAGTATCAACATCAAACAATTTTTGGTAAAATTCAAACGTCCAAAAGGATGGTGAAGGTTTCTGAGAGCCATCGCGTAAAAGCTCTGATTCTGGGCCTTCGGTGTCGGAACCTGGGGTGTCAGGGGAATGATTAAATGTCAAAGTATGCGACGATCTGACATCTAATTCCGCCACAGGTCCTGGGACGTTTGATGCTGGAAATTCTTGGAATTGCAGCTGCGAATCAGCTGAAGTGTCTATTTCCATGTCAATAAGAGAAGAGCCAGCCATTGCGACAAAATCACTCAATTACAAACACCTCGCCATAAGCACAAATGACATTTTATATACTCAGTATAGAAGCCGAGAGAAGCACAATCAGCATGAGGAATTATAGTACGTAAAAGACCAACGTCGACAAATTTCACGGCAGCACAATAACAAAAGACGATCGACTATCGTGTTCTATTTTATTGCGACTTTTTAAAGGCCAAAAGTACTGAAATCCTGTTTTACTTTTGAGAACGCGTAGTAAATTTTTAACATTTTTTTGTGTATGTGTTCTACATTCTCAGCAAATTTCCATCTAAGTAATCAAAATTATGAGCACAGTTGGCGAAACTGCGATGTTGTGCCACTACTTGCGTAAAGGAGCGACATACGAACACAAGAAAAGCTCGATAACGTTATCAATGTATTTTACCACTTCCCCGCGAAGAGAAACCAACAATTTTCCCTTTCTTATAACGGAAGTATGAACACTTCAAACTTAAGAAACTAGAATAAAGACTATTAAAAGAAAAAGGTGTCTGATTGTGATCAATAATTGAAAGTTTGGGGTTTGTGATATTAATATAGGGAGGGAAGATTGAACAACTCTAGCCATTACCTAATTAAATTAAGCATTACATTAAAATCCAACCAAAAAACGATGAAAAATAAATTGAATTGAATAATTATTCTTCCTTTTGTATTAAAGATTTCTTTTGCAATACTCCAATTGGCGAGCCTTCCATGGTGGCGCGCATCCCTGTATTTACCCTGCATTTGCATTTGATTGCGAGAACAAGGAAACAAAAAATGAATTTGGTAGATGTAGCTCCTTCTTATTTCGTTCGTACTGTTCTCGAAGATCTGGACCAATTTAAGGTATCTAACCCTTTTTTTTCTTCAGTGAATCCCGGAACCCTATTTAAGAATTAACGTGTGAAAAGCACAGGTAACTCTTGACTTATGTTATGTATTATCTTGTAAATAAATGCTTTAATGTATTATCTTGTAAATAACTACCCTTTTAACTATTATTCTAATCCGTATACGTCGAGAAACTGGGAACGTCTCGTCACTATTTCTTGTGCATGTCTCAGTATGTTACATACAATTTTTACAAGTTAAAATTAAATAAAAGCTTTTATTTAATGTTAGCTTATGTTATAAAAGTGTTTTATTTTTTTTCAAGTTCCAGTAGTAACATTTAGGGGAAAATTCAAGAATTGCTTTATAATAGTATTATAAGATATTATTCAAATGCCGAGGCGCACCGAGAATTTTTCTCAGAGGAGGGGGGATTTACAATTACGGTGTCCAGTCGACTTGATTTTTTTTGTCAATTACACAGGTACACACAAAAGTGTTGTCAGACCCAAAAACTTGATGCATGTTTCTCTATGTATTTCGACGCGCTGAATCCGAATCTGAAGCCAGAATTGCGCTACGACCCTCCAATTTGTTTTAAATCGCCAAAACCACTCGTTTTTTTCTTTTCGGAGGTTGTTGTTAGACCTAAAAACTTGTCGCTACGTATGTCAACGAGCTGAATCCGAATCTACCAAAATTACGCCACCACCCTCCATATTTTTAAATCGCAAAAACCTCTCTTGAAATTATTGTGTGTGTGTTGTGTGTGTGTGTATGTGTGTGTGTGCGCGTGCGTGCGTGCGTGTGTGTTGACTTGACACGCATTTCTCAATGTAGTTCGTAGTTCGGATCCGAAATGTTGAAGATTTGCAACAATTAGCAAAACTAATAAGCAAAACTTGGAATAGATTACATTAAGAAAAAAATCTCTAGCCTCAACGCTGTAGTTTTGCAACGTGATTGTTTTGTTGTAATTTTCGAAAATGCTGTTTGCCGAAAAAAATAGTGTTTGCCGAAAATGGAACCAGTACCATTTTCTTTACCATTCTTTTCTACATAAAAGGAAGTTTTTGAAAAATTGAGCCTTTTTTTAGAAAATAATTGTTTAAAAAAGTTAATATTTTACGCAAAATCACGCGAAAACTACTTATATTTTCGAAAATTTGAACATGGCCTTATTAAAAGATGTTTTTCATGAACAGATTTCTTTTGGAAAAATATTTCTCTCTTAAATATTGTAGTTTGTAGGGAGATGCGGAAAAACGTTCAGACTTTTGCAAGTTTCAAAAAAATTGAGAATGGTCAACGAAAATGCTATCCGCGCGATTTCTTTAAATGTCTTTTAATCTATCCGAGGAAACAAATTAGCAAAACGATTTGGAGCTGTTTTTGGAAAAAATTTGCAAAAGAATATTGTTATGGTTTCATGTAAAGGACCCTAAAAAATCAAAATATGTGTCAAACTCGCAGGGTCTCAAGTTATTGGGGAATATAAATTTTGGTGATAATTCTTCTTACGATTTACCCGCTAACGTTGTTCACCGACAAGATGAGAACGGTCAGAGGTTTTGGCGTAAATCAATATTTCGGCATTAAGGACAAAAAAAAGTTGTGGATTCTGACTACACAACGTGAGAGAGAAAGTAATTTACTACATACATGAACATGATTTATCTACTTTTGCAGTATCAGAGCTTCACAATAATAGTTTTTTCTGTTAAAAATCACCGTTTTTGCCGCATTACAATACTTTCTCTATACTGCTTCTTATGTGAGAAAATAAATTTGGAACCATTTTGCCACATTACAATACTTAAATATTTTCTCTACACAGAGTACGCGAGATAGTAAATTTGGAACCGTTTTTGTGAACATTTCGAAAATACCCTTGTCTCTCCAGTTAAAGCACCCCCAGAAAAATGAATATCCGTTTTGAATTCAAGGGGACGTGCCATCAGCAAGAGCGATGGGAGAAAATAAATTTTGTTAAACACCCTCCAATGGTTTTGCCGCTAGCGTTGATCACAGACTTACGGACAGACAGTTTTGCTGTAAACCAATCTTTCAGTATCAGGGACCCACGAAACGTGGATCCTGACTACACAATGTATTAGAGGACGTAATTTGCAACATATATGAACAAGAGTTTCAATAATAAGACCCCACAATAGAGTTTTCTGTAAAAAAAAAACGACATATTTTGCCGCAGCATTATACAACGTAAGTAGTATACGAGCAAGTAAAACTGAAACGGAATAAGAAAGCATTAAAACACTATTTTTGTCCATTAGAAAGTCTTATAGGGAAATTGCTCTATTAGTCCAGAATGTTCTCCAAACATTATTCCTTTTAAAAAGAAGAATATTATGTAATATTCTCCTTTTTTAAAATATATATAAAAATTTGTATTCTTCATAGAATCTTTTTTTCTTACATTCTTGTATTAATTGAAAAATTATTACTTTTAAAAAAATATGTTGAATTTTCATGTTTAACGATAAGCATTTTCTTAATTAAATTCATTGGAGTTTAAACTTCGTTAATCACCAAATCAAAGTTAGCAAGAGTTTTGATAAGTTTCAACTTTATTTTCTATGAATATTAATATTAACAATGCTTTTTTAACATAATGGAATTACAGGAAACATTTTGCATATGATAGTCATTTCAAGTTGCTATAAACCTTGAAGGTAGCAGTACATACAGTTTTATGCATTATCTTATTTAGGTAGTAACAGAAGATGTTTTGAAGGTTTGATGTAGGAAATACAGTAGATAAATAATTTTAATTTGTAATAACGTGTATAACGAGACAAATAACTATCTGAAGAAATGAAATGAAATAACTATCTAAAGAAATGAAATGGAAAATGAACATCTATTGTACATGCATCTTAAAATGTTCCCTGGTTCTGTGAAAAAAAAAAAAATACCGCTGGGTCGAGGTACATAGACTTTGTAAAAGGAACGTGGGTTCCATTGTGTGTTCATAAGGTGGGATTCTCTGAGATTCTCTTCACAATTATTTTCATGTTACAATAGTATAGAGTGGACACTCGATGTGAAGAACGCCTTCAACTTGGCGAGGTGGAACTGCATCCTACAGGATCTGCAGCGGATGAAGTGCCACAGTATCTGATAAAAATCAACAGCTACTCCAAAGGGAAGCCGTAGCTGTTGTGCCTTACGGAAGACGGTCACCAAACCCTCCTAGTTACTAAAGGCTCCAACTTGCACCTCTTACTGTGGAACACAATATAGGACAGCGTTTTCAGAATAAAGGCACAGAATATTTATTTATAAATGAGGAGAAATTTAACCGGTTTCTGCGACGACATTGCACTCACTACAGTGGCCAAACAAGGAGGAAGTGGTGGAATTCGCCAATGAAGCCACATCCGCAGACCGCCCTCTGTTGGCTTGCAACTAGCCTACCTCAAATCTGAGGAAATTCTCGTCGCGAGTAAAAATATGAGAGAATTCACCAACACGTCAGTTGGAGAAAATCACATCCACTTATGTCAAACTCAAGGTTTTAATTATGACTGACGCGAGGCTTCGATATAGTGATCACAACAGTACATCAGTGATAAGGCGACAAAAGTGATGATGACCTTATCGAGACTAATGTCGAATATTGAAGGACCAAGGCAGAAGCTCGAAGACTTTGTTAATTGTTTGCACTTCGATCCTGTTATTTGCAGCCACAGAATGGGCAGTAGCGGGCGTCGGATGGAAGAATAGTCTTTATGTAAAGTAGAGCGCACTTACGCTTAAAAAACGGTCTCGTAGGATGCAGTAGTGTGACCTGCATGCTTCCAATCGAGCTCTTGAGGTCCAATGCTGTTTGGAAATGTTTGGCAGATCGTACAGAAGAAAGGCGCGAGTCCATGATCCAATGGCAGAGGCTCTAGATCGGTTCACACAAAGGGGAGATAGACACATCGATTCCCCCCAAATATATAGGTATGGGAAGGATGGAGCTATAGCGAGATAGAGTATTTCCTATTTCTTATGCAACTATTTTGCCTAATGCAGCGGACGGCTGCTTCAGAGGATATCTCCACTGCATTCTTTGGATTTGAGATCCAGCATGCCCTATTGCTTCCCAGTAGCGGGATATGCAGGACACGTCTTTGTCTACCATTGCTTCCACGAAAAGAGAGCTCAACTGTGTCTGCAACTCGGGCAGCAATCGCAGCCCGAGAAGTAAGAAGCCGTGGTGAAAACCAAAACTCTCTCCTCAAGGCACCAGAAAATACAAAATTAGCCCTGAAGGCTAGAAAAGTATCATCTAAAGAATTAAGTATGAAGATGGT